GACCCCAAAACGGCACAAAATGTTTTTGTACACAAAGTGCTTGCAACGGGCGCTTGTTATGGTTGCTAGTGGTTCCGCCTCCACCCACTTGGTAAAGTAGTCCACTGCAACTATGAGCTACTTCCTTTTTCCCGACCCCATGGGTAGAGCTCCCACTAGGTCCACTCCCCACCTGGAAAAGGGGATGACCGAGCTGATGGGGGTGTAGCTCGTGGCGGGTCGGCCGGGGGTAACCTGGAAGTGCTGGCAGGTCTCGCAACTTCTAGCGTAGTCGGCGCACTCCTTGGCCATTTTGGGCCAAAAGTACCCCTGTAAGATGGCCCTTCGGGACATGGCGAAGGCCCCCTTGTGGGCGGAGCAGGTCCCCTCGTGGATTTCTTCCATGACCGCTCTGGCCTCGTCTGGGTACAGGCAGCGTAACAAGGCGCCGTTATAGGACCTCTTGTAAACTGTGTCCCCCATGATTACGTACGTAGGGGCTCTTCGTTTCACCAGCTTGGCATCGACCTCGTCGGGAGGCAGTGCGCCTGTCTTCTTGTACTCCTTGAGGTGGTCTAACCAGCAGGGAGGCCGGGTTTGCACAGGTAGGACCGGGTAGGCGTCCAGGCTCGACCTCTTGAAATCTTCAATTCGGGCTATTTTTGAGATATGTTCCGGGGCCCCTTGGGCGAGTTTGGATAACATGTCAGCGTTTGTGTTCTAGTCTCGGGGCACCTGTAAGACCTCGTAATTGATCAGCTGCCCCAGTAGCTGGAGCACCACGTCCCGGTACCTCCTCATCCTTTCATCACTTGCTTCAAATTCACCTGTAACATGTCCCACCACAAGCCTGGAGTCACACCGGATTTTGAGCTTCTCCACCCTCATATTCAACGTGAGGCGGAGCCCTCCCAGGAGCGCCTCGTACTCGGCTTCGTTATTGGATAACTTGAACGCGAAGCGGAGGGCGTAATAGGCCCGAAACCCCTCTGGGGTGATGAGGACGACTCCACCCCCGCAGCTTTTGGTGCTGGAAGACCCGTCCGTTGAGAGGGTCTACACTCCTCATCTTCGTCCCGGACCCGCTCCGCGGCCTCCCGGGCGGTACACTCGAGTATGAAGTCAGCCAGTGCCTGCCCCTTGATGGCGGGTCTGGGCTTGAATTGGATGTCGAACTGGCTTAGCCGCATGGCCCACCTGACCAACCTGCTGGCCGATTCCGAGGCCCTCAGCACCGCGTCTAGTGGCTGGTTCGTGAGGACCTGTACGGGGTGGGCCTGGAAGTAGTGGTTCAGCTTCTTTGCCGTCACATCTACCGCGAAGATGGCCTTCTCCACGGGTGTGTACCTGATCTCCGCCCCCCGTAGAGCTCGGCTCGTGTTGTATACGGGCCGTTGGGCCCCCTCGTCGTCCCGGACCCGCACGGAGCTAACCGCGGCCTGCGAGATGCCCAGGTACAGATATAGGACCTCCCCCTTAATGGGTTTGGCCAGGGGGGCGGGGGGGGGGAGCGACATCAGGTACGTCTTGATGTTGGTCCCAAAAGAGGTAAGGTGAAAGTCTAGAGGGGGAGGGGGGGGGGGGGGGGGTTGAATAGATTTTCAAGCTTTTTCGCACAGCACAACAATTGCTAAGACAGGGAGATAAACCAAAACTCTTAACTAGATTGTTAGAGTATGGTGCACAGCGGAAATTAAATAAAGATAAAGTGTGTGTGAGATTGTGTGAGGATATATCTCGTGTAGAGCATATAAGTAAAGAGTAGTAAGTAAAGAAAGCAGTAAAGAACACAAGACAATTACAGTGGTTCGCGAGGTGGTGTAATCCTCCTACTCCACTTGCTCTTATCTCCAAGAGCAATTCACTATATCCACAACTTCTTGGTTCCAAGATACAATGAATTTCCGTGATCTAGTGCTTTGATCACCAAGCCCACACTAATCACGCCCAGTGACACCACACTGCTGCTTCGGGTTTCACGTCGCCGCGCTACTATCCCAGGATTTCACGACTCCGCGTTACTTTCCCCCCGTCTTCCACACTCTGGTAGAAACGTATCCCGTGATCTAGTGCTTTGATCACAAAGCCCGCACTAATCACGCCCAGTGCCTCCGACACTGCTGCTTCGGATCTCACAGCTCCGTGTGACAATCCAGGATTTCACAACTCCGTGCTACTTTCCTCCCTTCTCTTGTTTTGCTCCAAAACAAGTGTTGTCTTGCTTCCAACTTCTGAGACTCTGTAGTTGATCTTCAATGATGCGCAGGTCTCTTAGATGAAGATTAACACTCTTGAGGGATTTCTCTTGAACGCTCTGAGTGTTTTCTCTCTTTGGATGAATCAAGTAAAGCACTTGATTTTTATGCTCTGTTTTGCTCTGTTTAAGAACTCTCAGAATATTTTTCTCTTGAAGCTCTCTGAGTTCTTTTTCTTTTCTCACACTTGAAGATTTTAGCTCTTAGCTTTTTAGCTCTCTGCTCTTTGCTCGTATATCTTCTTAAGTTCATTGTCTGCTCTCTTGTGTTCTTCAAGTCTTCATATCTTCATCATTTTATAGCTGGTAATGAGGATCTGCCCGTTGGATAGAGACGATCTCATTTTTGAATTCTGTATCTTTTTGTCAGAGATCTTATCTTATCTTCTGCAAAGATGTCAGAAAGAGATAAGCTAGCCGTTGATGGATCTTCATCTCCATATAAATGAGCTCCCAAACTTCATATTATATTCCTCTGGTTTAACGTTGACAGGGCGTTTGGTTGGAGGGATTTTAAATTCTCTTCCCACTTAATTCCCACCTAATTCCAAAGGCCATTAAATTCCATAGTTTGGTTGGAGGGAATTGCAATTCCCCCATTTTCATGGAATTAAAATCCCATGTCCCCCCTAGTATTTTAATTCCTGGGAAAAAAAGATAGTGATGAGTCAAAATTACCCATTCCTTTTTTAGCTTAAAATTAATGTCTAACAACAATAATAGACATTTTTGACTTTATACTACTTATTCCCTTTCAATTCCCATGTATACCAAACATTGGAATTGAAATTCCCAGTAATTCTATTCCTGTCAACCAAACACTGGAATTTAAATTCCCACTTGATTCCCAGTAATTCAACTCCCATGGAATTACAATTCTTTTCCCATATAATTCCCCCCCTCTAACCAAACGCCCTGTGAGTGGGAATATCTGGGTCTCTGTTTTGGTGTAGAGATTTAAAAATAATCTTCATTTTAATCTTGTCTGGGTGTTCTCAGACTTCAAGCTGGCTTTGAAGTTCCACCCAACTTCTCCTGGTGCTCCAATTACTTCTCAATTTGAATTGCATTAACCTTGACTTGGTGCTCCAATTACTTCGAAATTGGAACTTCTCCTGATATTGAATTTCATCTCAATTCAATTGCTCCCCAATTTGAATTGCATCCCATACTACAACTTGAATTGATTCCATGTGAAACTATTTCCCAATTTCAAACAATTTCAATTTCTCTCAAACTAGCTCCCAATTCAAATTGTTGATGGTGAGATTCAAACTTGAGCCATTTCACATAATATATCAAGCATCATCCACTTCATCCGTACAACTATTGATTAAATCTCCAATCTTCTTTTGTGTACTTCTTTCTTTCCATAGATGCTTAATCTCCAAGTTAATTTCATGCATTCTTCCAATCGTAATTTTCTTCAACGAAAATTCTTCTGGGATATCTTTTGTGTAGCATTGACGTGAATATTACACCATTCATCTTCTTCTTCAATTTGTCATTTTCTCCAGACAAATTCTTGATTTTAGGCTTGATATCTTCTTCTTCCATTTTCATGCATCTTCCTCTGTTTTTCTCTTTTGCAACTTAAATAATTTCCCGATCATGGTCTAAGACTCTACTAGACCTATAAAATAAAATTGGGGGATCTACAAATACATATTTGGCATATCAAAATCATTACACTTTATTCCTAACACTTGAGGTCCTCGAACGCCTTCTGGCACTCTTCGGACCACTCGAAGCCCTTAGTCTTTTTGAGGACTCCAAAGAACGGTAAGGACTTCTCCGCCGACCTCGAAAGGAAACAGCCAAGGGCTGCTAACCGCCCGTTGAGGCGCTGGACCTCCCGGAGGGACCTCGGAGGTTCCATGTCCAGGATGGCCTTGACCTTGTCAGGGTTGGGCTCAATGCCCCTCTTCGAGACCATGTACCCCAAAAATTTCCCCCCGTGCACCCCGAAAGGGGTTCAACTGTAAATTGAAGCGTTGCATAATTGAAAATACCTCGGTAAGGTCGACCGTGTGGAGGTCGGCGTTGGTGCTCTTAACAATCATGTCGTCGACGTAGGCCTGTAGGTTGCGGCCGAGGACCTGCTTGAACACCTTGGCCACCATTCGGGTGTAGCTGGCCCCTGAATTTTTTAGCCCGAAAGCCATGACCTTATAGCAGTAGACCCCTTCTGGTGTGGTGAAAGCTGTCTTTTCCTCGTCGGCCTCCTCCATGAAAATCTGGTGGTACCCCCTGAACGCATCTAGGAAGCTCATAAGGGCGCAACCTGCAGTCTCGTCCACCAGCTGGTCAATGTTGGGGAGGGGGAAAGGGTCCATAGGGCAGGCCTTGTTGAGGTCGGTGTAGTCCACGCACATCCTCCAGGTGGGTGGCTTTGGGACGAGGACCACATTGGCTAGCCATGTGGGGTATATGAATTCCCTGACATGGCCGATCTCTAGCAGGGTGTCGACCTCCTTTTTGACGAACTCCCTCCTCTCGGCGGAGAGGTACCTCTTGCGTTGTTGGACTGACTTGACCGCGGGGTCAACAGCCAGCTTGTGCGTGATCACGTCTCGACTGAGGCCCGGCATATCCTTGGGGCCCCACGCGAAGATCTCCTTGTAGCTCCTGATGGTGTTGATTATCCGTGCCCGGAGGTCGGCCGGGAGGCCGACCCCACCTTCACGACCCGATCGGGTCGGCTGAGGTCGAGGATGACCTCCTCTGTCTCGACCACAGGCTCGGCCCGAGGTCGACCTGCTTCCTCTCAAAATGCCTTCTCGGCGATGGTAAGGACCTGGAGGTCCTTTTGACCAATTTGACGACACGCCTTCAAGTAGCAGCTGCGGCTTACCTTTTGGTCCCCCCGGGCGACCCCGACCCCGACTGGTGTCGGGAACTTGAGACACAGGTGCTCCATGGAAATCACGCACCTGAGGTCCTCCAGGGCGGGTCGACTGAGTATAATGTTGTGGGCGCAATTGATCTTAACGACTACGAACTCGACCTCCCACCTCTTGGTGTGAGGTGGGGTGCCTATCTCCACCTCCAAAGTGATCGACCCTTCTGTCTCGATTGAGTCCCCCGTGAACCCGGAGAGGGGGGTCCGTACCTGCTCCTGCTGCCCTCTCGAGAGTCCCAGCCGGGTGAACGTGTCGTGGTACATGACGTTGATGGAGCTACCCGTGTCTACGAGCACACGGTGCACCACCACGTCGTTGATGTCCAACTTGACCACCAGGGCGTCTCGGTGGGGGAGAGGACCGTCGGGTAGGTCGGCGTCGGTGAACGTGATGGGCTCTCTCTTTGGTTTTTTCTCGTGGGGTGTTCGTGTGACCTCCCCCACGTACAAGCTTCGCGCCCACCTCTTCCTCTCGGTTGGCGAGTCTCCTCTCTTGGGCCCCACAAAGATGAGGAAAATGGCACGTTTCTTCGGGGGTTGGGAGTCCTCTGTTGTCTTCTCCTCCTCCTCAGAGCTGTGGTCGTGGTCCCTCTTCCGGGGTGCCGAGGTGGATGGTGTCTGGCCTCTCCCCTTTCTCCAGACATTGCCCTGCTTCTGGCCATGCGCCTGGCCGGGCTTCTTAATGAATTGGCCGAGGTAACCCATTTGGATGAGCTCCTCACTTTGTCTTTTCAGGAAGATGCATTCGTCTATGTCGTGCCCCTTCAGCCGGTGGAACCTGCAATACTTGTTGGGGTCCCCCCTCGCCGATATCTTCATGCACTCCTCCTTTGGGAATACCAAGATTCCTTGGTCCTCCGCGTGCACCAAGATGGTACCCACAGGTTGTGTCAGCAGGGTGAGATAGCGTGTGGGGTTCAGCCTGGGCCCTCCGCGTACTCACGTCGGTGCGGTCGTGGCGCCTTGCGCTCCTCCTGGGGTGCCTTGTCTTTCCGACCTCTCCCTTCCTCCTGCTCCTTCTTCCTCTTCTCGGCAGCCTCGGCGTCAGCGTACCTGGCTGCCCTGTCCATCAGGTCGGTATAAGTCCTGGGGGGGTACCGAATGAGGTCCTGGTGGAAAGCTCCCGACCTCAAGTTGTTTCGGAAAATTGGCATGGCTGACTTCCCATCAAAGTTGGCGACCCCCATGGTCTCCTTCTTCCACTTGCTGAGGTACTCGGCCAATGACTCCGAGCTCCCCTGCTTTAGCTCGCGCAGGTCGGCGATTTGCTTCTTTCGCTGCATGCTGGTGGCAAAATGGGACAGGAACTGCCGGGTGAGGTCCGCAAAGGTGGTGATGGACCCCTCCGGGAGGGACCTGAACCACCAGCATCCATGTCTATATTCTTCCGCAGCGTCTGAGTTGCATGGCCATTTTCCACTACCAGCTGTTATATTTTCCTAACATGCAGAAATCAAAACTATGATCAAAGCTAAGTTTCAAATAAGATCTAGGCTGACGATAGGCATCGGGTAGCCCCAATTGCTCTGCCTCTCCTTGATATGCTTCGTTGCCACCTCGCGCAACCGCATCGATGGTCCTCGCATCATCCTCCGACCACTGGCTCGCCACCACCGGAACCGAGCCACCCGTTTTAGGCTCGAAGAATGGCGCATGATAGCATGAATCGCCGGCCATAGAAGATCTGGTCCTTAAGAAATGGCATCTGTGTCCACTCCATGCCCACCGCCACAACTCTGCAAATCTTTAATAAGTAATATACAATCGATTTCCTAGTCTTGGCGAAAAGCTCTTCAATGACGGGGTCATGGCGTCTTCGTCAGCATCTGAGCATTTTGGAACCTGTTGTTTCCTGATGGGAACATTTTGGGTCTCATTATTAATTCCCTGCTGATTCAATTCAAAAATTTGACACAATCCCCATCAGAACAACAAATTAAGGATCTCCCTCGATCTTCTTCGCATAGTTCATGGTGACCTTGATGGATTTTCCACGATGTGTCCCAGAGACCATCTGCCGCCCAGTTTCTTGTCCTCCGCGGTATGACAGTGCTTGCTCGGATCATACACCACAACAGCGCGGCGCTGCCTGCCTTCTGTTGAGCGTGAAGCCATGGTGATTGGCTCAACTCTAAGGAGCCTCTTCGTGTCCACACGAGCGGAAGCCGAGGCCAGGTGATAAACCGAGCACAGCGACTTCACAGGCGCACACCACATGTTGTCTTCGGCTCGGGCTTCGCTGCTGCAATTTGGATCCAGCCTGACATCAGCGACCGGAAACAGCCCCAGGGGCACTAATGGCTCAAATCCAAGATCGCGATGGGGCGACGACGCTTCAGACCTTAACCTCAATAAACTTCTTTTATGAAGAAATTGTTGTTGTTGACGATGAGTGTGGCGAACAAACCGGAACTTCCGCCCCTTTGCCCGGGCAGTTGCGGGAGTTTCGGGTCGCATGAATGAGGTGCGAAGTGGAGCGCTTCGATCTCTCTGTTACGTATCTGCAATTATGTTACTTCAAACACAGTGTCCACGGCTTGGGTAGAATGTCGGATGAAGCATTATCATTATTCATATCACAACGCCACCGCCGGAAGTGGAGCCATCTACATCGCTCTCCTAAAGTGGCACAGCGAAGATGGCGAGACTCTGCGACAATGCTCGCAGCGGGGAAGGCAGTTAGACTGAAGCGGGGTTCTTTAAGGAAGCCCCGGCATAATCGCAGCTGCAAGTTGGAATAAATCAGAATAGCAGCAATGTCTGCCATTGTGACAAATACAACTGTAGAGATTGTGGTTCTTAACAATGTTATTGGGTCTGTTTAGGGGAGAATGGCAGCAATTTGGAATGCATGTGAGAGATTTCTAGGGCAAAGGCGATGATGCGTGAGGCACATCCGACATTGAATATTGGAACTAGTGACCGGAATATTGTGATCTCTTTGAACTCTTGATGAAACTCTAATCGCTTAGAGCCTACTTCATGCTCAAAGTGACGTAGCATCAACAAAACACTTCCACCAGAAAGTATATTGGAGATGGATATTGGACCGGAGCATCGCCACCCCTTTGCGATTCGGAGAAATGCCGATTGAGATAACTCTAAATGTATATGTGGTGATGCATCACTTGCAAGGCTCAAATTAATGACTGCGATCACCAAAGATTTATGGTTTTTCTTGCAATTACACACCTTATCTCATAGCAGGCTCCATAGTTTTCTGCATCACTGAAGAATATTAGGCTTAGAGCCGCTATGTGTGGGGAATAAATTCACTTAGCTTGTATTCCTCAAACCTGCAAGCTCTGCTAATGATGCCCTCAAGGGAACCATGAAGGAGGCATGAACCTCTATGTCATGGCAACATGATTTGGACCAAGCTAAGCTCAAACTGCTTTTGAAATCATGAAGCAAGAATCAAAGGAATCTGCTTATGCAGTAAGGGGAAACACAGCGTGGTTTTATTATTATTATTATTATTATTATTATTATTATTATTATTATTGGTTAGTCCTAGTGGCGTTATGAGGTCCGACCACGGCTAGGCAAAGTAATCAATATATCCATGGTCACGGCCGTGCGCGTCGGCCCTGACCTTGGCATTTCCTAACGGTGATACGGGGTCCGCCCTCGTTCACTACGGGATGGAAGAGCCTATTATTGGCCTATTTCATGAATGTTGTTTCGACCAACAATTTGTTTTATTATAATAAAATAATTGTTCGATTGCAAAATTACTCCGAGTTCGTCAAATTTTACCCTTCTGAGGGGGGAGTCCAAGCCACAAGCCAATTTCGGTTGTTTAAAAAAAAAAAAAAAAAAAAAAAAAAAAAAAACTTGCTCGCTCAATACCCTAAGGGGGCATGAGGTCCGACCTCGCGTACCAGCCCCGGCGGAAGAGCATAACGGCCTGGTGTCAAATGACTTGGATCGAAGAGCTATCACCCTAAGGGGGCACGAGGTCCGACCTCGCGTACCAACCCCGACGGAAGAGCTCGGTGGCTTAGTCCGGCGGGACTCGGCCCAAGCGGCTAACGTACCCTAAGGGGGCACGAGGTCCGACCTCGCGTACCAACCCCAACGGAAGAGTTTTTGGACCAAGAGTATCCTTGGCCAAATAACTACATACTACGTAAAGAGAAAAAAAAAACACACAAAACAAAACTATGCGAGCAAAACTCAAATAAGCGATCATGCGTCGTCCGAACAACCCACTATCGAGCAACGAAGACTCGGATCACAAAGCTAAAAGCCTAGAAGGTGTTGGAATAAGCGAAATATTTATCAAGTTGACCATGAAACATTCATCCAAGTCTAGAGCCTCGAGCGGTTTCAATTGGGCCACACGTTTACTCTCTCTCGTTGTCGACTTCTCGCAACTTAAAGAGTGGGGGACTGATGATGGATATATTGGAAATATATGGCCCAATAATAGGGACCCGGGTCTAGGAGTGCATAGCCCGAGCGCCCGAGGCCCAGAATGATGGGCCTTGACCTAGTCTCACGGGCCCACTAGGGGGGCCTCGACTTAGTCTTGTGGCCTACCATGACTTTAGCGGAGTTTGTTGGCTCATGTCCTGTATAAATACCGCGTTGTCTTGACATTACAAATCATGTTCTACCTTTTGTCCTAAACTATTACCTGTGATAGTATTACACCCTTGTAATAGCACTTCATACACAATTAGTACAATATTAGTCCCCGTGACTATGTTCGTACCCCTATTATCATCTAATTATATACTTGTTACGTTTATTCGGGTTAATTAATACGGACCCCCGGTTTAATTAATTCCATCAATGCACTTGAAGGCTACAAAGTGCGCACTTGAGGCTAAAAACATGCACTAGAAGGGAAAAAAAATGGTTCAATGGAATGCTAACTATTTTTTTTAATACAATAGTAAGACACACGTGCACTTGTAGGCTTGAAATTGAGCACTTGAAAGCATAAAGAGGATCACTAGAATGCAAGAAAAAAAAAAAAGACACTAAAAGAGAAATTTAGAAGAAAATTAATTGTGCACTCTTAGAGGAAAATATGCACTTGAAGGCTACAAAACGTGCACTTGAAGATCAAATTTTTGCACTCAAAGGCACAAAGATGTGCACTCAAAGGGAAAACTAAGTATTAAAACAAAACAGATGCACTCGGAGAAGATAAATATGCACTCGAAGAAGAAAAATGTGCACTCAATATAAAAAAACAATCTGACTTACTCAAAAGTAAATTATGCCACCGCACATTTTTTAATTAATATTCAATATGAGCTGTTGATTTGGAATACATGGTTAGCTATTGTGCACATTTTTTTAACTGGAGAAGCATTTGTATTTGATCCAAAATTTGTGTGTGTGTATAAAAACAAAACAAAATAAAGAAACAAAGAAAATGAAATATGATCAATAATTGAGCTCCAATGGACAAGAACATGATTGTACACCTCATAGAAAATCTATTTTTCCCTCAAGATAAGCATGACATAAAAACTCCATATCATATTGGACGTGTTGACTCGTCCATGACACATTATTCTTGCTCCTATTTTCACTCTATTTCCTTGTTTTATTCAACACATTTCTGGCTATTGACTTTTCAACTTCCAGATATAACATTTCTTTAATTTGCCGCTAATAATAAATACCAAGAATTCATTAAAAACATATCTCATGTAATTACCAGGAATTTTCCGTACGCGCATTGCCCCCAGAATCCAACTGCCACAAACCGCCGCAAACCGCCAATTCCCACTGCTTTTCCCCCCACTCTCAGCCCACAATATATACATACATACAGACATTTGTTCGTGTTATCAGCAAACAACAACCTTATCCTTTCTTGTTCTTTCCAATCTATAGCAATCTCCCACGTATATATAAGATCAGGTAGTGCGTAAAAGCTTGGTCGTACACTAAAACACTTCACTAGTTTTCCAGCACCAAAATATCTTCTGCAAATGTTGTCAAAGTCCATGAATCAAGAAGAGGTTATCAGCCCCAGAAACACCAAGAAAGCCACTCATTCTTCTTCTTCTCCTTCCAAGAATTCTGGGTTTGTGAGCTTTTGTACGAAGCTAACCAGAAAGAGAGCCAAAGGGGAGGATAGTTCTTCTTCTTTTTCATCTGAGGAAGATGGCAGTTGCTACGAGAGGGTTTTCGCATACTTTGACGAGGATGGAGATGGGAGGGTGTCGGCGGCGGAGCTGCAGAGGGCGGTGAGGGCGGTAGGCGGGGAGCTGACGGCGGAGGAGGCGGAGGAGGCGGTGCGGTTATCGGACTCCGACGGGGATGGGATGTTGGGGATTGAGGATTTCACTAAGTTGATGGAGGGGGAGAGGAAGGAGGATGAGCTGAGAGAGGCTTTTGGGATGTATGCAATGAAGGGCACTGATTATATTACTCCCAAGAGCTTGAAGAAGATGTTGTGTAGGCTTGGGGAGTCCACCACCACCCATAACTGCAAAGCTATGATTAGGAGATTTGACCTTAATGGAGATGGAGTTCTTGGTTTTGATGAGTTCAAGATCATGATGAGTTAGTTCATCCAAGCACACACATTGTATATATATCATAATAACTTGTTTTGTATTGTATGATTCAGTTGAATTCTTTGTGTAAAACAATATTACTTCAATAAATCATATGCTTACCAATATGTAAATCCCAAGTAAATCAGCTTAAGTTACTCATAACTGACTGGCTTAAATCAAGGAGCAAAGATTTACTTCAATAAATCATATGCTTACCAATATGTAAATCCCAAGTAAATCAGCTTAAGTTACTCATAACTGACTGGCTTAAATCAATGAGCAAAGATTCGAAGACGTGATTTTGCCATAACTGACTGGCTTAAATCAAGGAACAAGGATTCGAAGACGTGATTTTACCATAACTGACTGGCTTAAAACAGGATTCGAAGACGTGATTTTACCATAACTGACTGGCTTAAAACAGGATTCGAAGACGTGATTTTGCGATCTTGGCTGGAGTTACCTATTTACCAATATGTTCAAAGCTGAGATGATAGTGTATTAGTATATCTCATATCTAATACGGAGTAATAAGAACACTTTTAAAAAAATCTTACATATAAAACTATATAGATGATTGTGCAATGGCGTCAAAATGCGACTTGACACTGGAGAGGCAGCACACCTTAGGCAAGAAACTTTGTCTATGCACCCCAGCATTTTCTTTACAAAGCTCTCAACTAATACATCGGAGAGGAATATAGTAGATAAGATTATGAACATTATTTAAGAATTAAAATGGTAGATAGTACATCATCGTTAACCGACAGTTAATAAAGGAAATTAACTGTCATTTGCTATTGCAGTTGCCAAGCAGCAAGTTTAGCTCCATGACTGACTGTTGAACATCATGGAGATCCTCCCCTACCTTGTCTGAGACGAAGAACGACTGGCAGGATAATGCCTCCTGCAGCTGATTCTTTCTGGTTGTGGCAAGAGCTTTCTCTCTTTTTAAATCTTCTATTTGCTGCAATTCCATTTGTAATTCTTCATTCAAAATCTGCATCTCTTCCTCTTTCAGTGCTGCGTCAAACAGGTGTTGCTGGTACTCGACAATCATGTCTTCAAATTCATTCTTCCCATCTTCCTTCATTTTCAATATCATTTCCTTCTCGCGGGTGATGGTTTGAAGCTTGACTTCCAGCTCCTTAGCTGACTTGGAACTTTTCTCTACCTCCTTTTCAATGGCCTGCAAGGGACCTTCGAGCTTTGCCATTTTCTTGCTCAGATCCTCAACTTCTTTTTTCAATGACCCAAGTTTCTCTTGAGTCTGCTTAATCTGATTTTGGATCTTTGTCCTCTCTTCCTCAGACTTCAGCAGTTCAGTAGCTTTCCCGCTCAAGTGCCAATTCCTTTGTGCGGGGTCAACATCTGGTTTTGCAATGTTGTCTATGGCAAAGAGAACCCTATCACTTTCAAGTCTTTGGTTTTCTTCCTCCAGTCTCATTTTCAAGTGTGCTAGGCTGCTTATTAGTTCACTTTCAGACTGTTTAGCTTTCATTTGCAAAACCATATATTCATCCTTAGAGGCTTGAAGACGGGCTAATGCTGATTTCTTTGGGTCAAGTTCAGTTAAAGAAGTGTTCCACCTCTGCCTTGCTTGAGTTTCACGGAGCTCAAAGTAACCGATTGAGGAAGAGAAGCTTGATAAAGAGTATTTCAGTGCAGATAGCTTTTTATCCACCACAGCTTTCTTTTCCAGCAGTTCGGAAGATAAAATTTTAAAGGATTCAAAACCTCGCTGTTTAGCCTGAATACTCTCTTCTAGTCCCTCAACTTTTCTTGAAAGTTCATCAACCTCAAGAAGTGCTCTCTCCAGTGAGCCAAACATGCTCACCGTGTTGGCAGATTTTACAAGCTTTTCTTGTGCTTCATAAAGCTTCCTTTGTACCAACTCCATATCTTCTGATACATCAACTGTGATCAAATGTGATGATTCCTCATCTATGTCAGAAACAAGGCCTGCATCCTGATTTGAATCAGGACAATCTGTTTTCTCCATCTCATCACCATTTAAGATTCCAGATTCTTTCTCCCCAATTGTTAAACTCGCCACTGATCCTGAAAGATTACTCTGTGTAACTCCTGTTGTCTTGCAGAAAGGAGGTTCATCTGAATCTGAAGTATTACCCATGTATGAATATTGACTGTATTCATCTTCTACATCTACTTCAATCAAGCCAGCCTCCTCGAATACTTGTTCTGGATTTGCAGATACACTATTGTGCTCATCTAGGTAAAGATTTTCACTTTGATGTTGCATGTCAGGCCCAAAAGAATCAATCATCTCTGTAGTAGAGCAATCTGTGCCAGAAATCGGAGATTTTCCAGATTTTGGAGATTCCCCTTTATCCTCAACAATTTTCTTCTCAGTAGAAGAAATCAGTCTTTTGAAATCATCTCTCTCTTGCATAGCTTTCTCATAAAGGCCCATCAGTTTATCATTTTCTTCATGCATTTCCATGAGCTGATTGTTCAGGCATTCAACATCTCCTTTCTTCTCTTGCATAGCATTCTCATAAAGACCCATCAATTTTTCATTCTCATCATGAATTTCCACAAGTTGATTGTTTAGGCACTTCACCTCTCTATTCTTCTCTTGCATAGCATTCTCATAAAGACCCATCAATTTTTCATTTTCTTCATGCATTTCCAAGAGTTGACGGTTCAGGCACTCAACTTCCCCTTTCATCTGGAGTTCCTTCTCATCATGCATTTCCTCAAGTTGACTGTTTAGGCACTTAACCTCTCTGTTCTTATCTTGCATAGCATTCTCATAAAGACCCATCAATCTTTCATTTTCTTCATGCATTTCCATGAGTTGACGGTTTAGGCGCTCAACTTCCCCTCTCATCTGGAGTTCCTTCTCATCATGCATTTCCACAAGTTGACTGTTTAGGCACTTAACCTCTCTGTTCTTATCTTGCATAGCATTCTCGTAAAGACCCATCAATCTTTCATTTTCTTCATGCATTTCCATGAGTTGACGGTTTAGGCGCTCAACTTCCCCTTTCATCCGGAGTTCCCTCTCTGCAGTATCTTCAGATAACTTATGGGAGTCATCTTGACAATTCTGGCATCTAAGGTTAGCACTGTTCTCTGCAACCGCTTGTTCGTACAGTTCAATCAGTTTTTGGTTATCCTCAATTAAGACCTTAATCTTCGCTCTTAGTTCCTCATTTTCTTTAGACAAGGATATAGCTGTTTCATGAGCTTCGGCTTCTCTTTGGCTTGCAGCTGCAATAGCATCAACCATGGCTTCAAGTTCCATCTGATCACTGATACCAATATTTGGCATCTGACAGTTTGTTAGAGAAGAAAGATCAGATTGCACTTTATGAGATTCTTCCAGGATAGCTGCTTTAGAAGATCTCTCTGATTCTATCTCTTTTTCCAAGTCATTCACATGCCTGCAAGAGTAATGCATAAAACAGAGATCAGAAAAGAACACTGGCAACAATGGGGTGCATTAAAATAAGAATTGAGAACTACCTTTCCAATTTTTCTTTCTCCTCTACACAAAGATCAAGTTTTTTACGCAGGGCGTCCAGTTCTGATTGGTTGTAAATTGCCTGAAACGATAAGAATAAAAAGATTAACATATATTGGTTTCTTCTTCCTTTAATTTGCTCATTGCTATAGAGAAAATGCAAGAATACCTGCAAGCGAAGGAACTCGTTTTCCTCATCGGCTGCAGTATGCATAGGTGTGGCAGGTTTCTGCAGCAGAAATGTCAAATAAAAATAACATTAAAAGAAATTTAGGTTGTATATACCTGCAGATTGGATCAGATCATAATAGACATTTGGCACCACAATATTCATTGTAATTAGTCAATAAAGAGATAGAAATCCAACAATTATGACTTTTAAAACAAACTTTTATGCAGAGATTCTATTATGGCTCTTTATAAATCCAAAATAAAAATAAAAAAAAATAAATAAAAATAAAAATAAAAATAAAAAATAGTACCCATTCTATATATATCTGCAAAAAGTTTCAAAGAATGGGAAAGAGGATAAGTTTGTTTCCCACCTGATTGGAGAATAGCAAATTGCTGTCATTGTTAATATCAGTTGCAAGCTCATCAGAACTTTCTTCCTGTAAACATAGATGGGTTTGAGTAAAAAGAAGAAATAGGTTAACAACACTCAGCATGCATGAGTTACGACACGAGGCAGCAAATCGATACAGATCCTAAGTGGATTGGGAACGAACCTGGGTATTAATGGGATCCGAACCATGCATGAGTTTCCAATCTAGAGCTTCTCGTAACTGCAATAAGAAAAGAGACCCCCAAGGGAACAGGAAAATTTAGTTCACTGTTAATTGAGAAAAACAATGGAAATAAAGACATTCAATGGACCATAAGAAAGTCATTGCTTATCAACAGCTTATTGAGACAAAAAAGAGACAATGAAGGGAAATAAAAGACGCATTTTTGGGAGAGTGATTTGAACAGGGTTTTCCATCTTAGTAGTGAAGTGCCTTCAAAACAAGAAAGTAATACAGACAAGAAAGAGATATAGAATAGATCAAGTTAAGAAAAAACGAATGTCAAACCTGATTCTCCAGTATCATGATTTGCTCATTCATCCTTTCCCGTTCACCTTCTTCATAGAATGATTTCAATCTGTATTTCATTTTAATGCAATAATTAGGAAGTAAAATGAATGAAACTTTCAACTGAGAATAAAAAAGCATTGAATTCCATATCCATATTAATATTACTAACGTAGATTTGGAAAAGCAATAAAACTATCAACCTTCTAACAGAAGAAAGAGAAAAATAAGGGAAATCATATCATGATATACATACCTTCTTATTTCCTCCTTCAATCGCAGGTTTTCCATAGCAAACCTTGTCACTTCTTGGTTACGATCAACTTGATTCCGTAGAACTTCTATTTCTTTCAAATGCTCCTCTTTCTCTTTTAACAAGTGAACCTCAGCCGAAATTTTTCCTGAAGCAACTGATTCCAGCCTTTTGATTGCACCTTCTCGAAACCTTAGTCTCATCTTCAGCCCTTGTATCTCATCTTCTCTTTGTTTTGCCTAATGGGCAAATATAAGCACAACCCTAACATCAGTTCCCTTTCTAGAAATGTTAATGGTATGAGATTTTATGTTTCAATTTTTGCTATATTATCTAAAATGCTTATAGACTATTGGAACATAAACTACATACAATGAGTTTAATTGAGCCCAACTTTGCCAAAGACCTTGAAAGTCCAGTGACACATGCCTAAGAGACTATCTAAAAGGTTTCAAGTTTCATTGTACCCAAAAAATGTAATGGAACTTAAAATGGGATAAAAATGAGATTCCATGCAGTTTTTTCCTATAAAATATAATACTCCAAACATTCAAAATTCTTGTGAAATTCAAATGACAAAGTCAAGAAACTCTTATCCATACCAGCTGCAAGGCAGCCTGATTTTCAGCAACCAATGCCTGCATAGCGATGTCTTTATCCTTTTCCCTCCTAAAAGCTCCAACAAGGGCAACTTCATAGTCCTTTTTCTGAAATTACAAGAAATTATCAGCAAGAATCACAAAGAGAATTATTGGTTTAACTGCAAGAAATAGCACATACATATGACATCTTTTTGCCTGATGCAAGTGGGCTTGCAAATCCATGAAGTCCTTCCCATTTGATAGATGTTGGTGATCCTGGCAAGGCTATTGTCCTTGAATCAGTTTCATAAGCATCACCTCCTCCATTACCCATACTCCTAAGACGAGCAACTTCTTTCTGGAGATGAGAATAGAAGATTTCAGAACTCAGAATTAACAAAAATCCAGATCATTTTACTTGTTTAGTTGTTTTGATAGTTTCCTTATTATTAAGGGAGGAAGCTATTTCTAGAAATGATTACCGCCCTTAATTATTAGGAAGAAAACTATAATTCAAACTATACCTTCAGATTTTGAATCTGCATCCTCATTGCAATAACATCTCCAGAAGCATCTTCATTTACAACAGCCTGCACAGGGAAGATAAAAAATGGTCAGGTGGGAAAACGAAGAAAGGTTCTGCTAGCTATTATGTTTAACCGATATAACAATTTATTCATGTGGCAAAACTTCATTCCAACATAACCACATCTTAATATTCTTGTAGAGAATTAAGTTATTGTAGACCATAAAAGCAAGAAGAAAAATGAAGCAAAAAGTTGGGGTTCACGTGAAAGAAATGCTTGTAACTGTTAGCAATTTATGCATGATAGACATGGTTAATTTTAGTAGCATAGTAGCCAAGATAATGATAAAAACATACATGATTCTTTATGAATTTGGCACGCTGAGCAAACTTCAATGTGCTTAGAGTTTCCAGTGAGCAGCTGCAAAAGTACAATCATAAATATTCATTTCTTCATTTGATTAAAAATTTAAAATGAATGATTTGATTTCAAAATCATTACAAGAGTTCATTCAAAAAATTATATAAAGAAAAAACTAGATTGGCAGAGGGCAGCAAGCACGAATAAACATAAAAGTTACCTGTTGGAAGGAGTAACATTCGCAATTATGATTGTTTTTGCATTCCCTCCCAACGAATCCTGAAAATAAGGAAAATTATGGGCATTCTCTACAGCATGACAGTTCTAAGAAACTATTAGCTTTCATTGAACAAATTTTGCATTAGAAGCTTAATTTTCTTAAGGGGAAAAAGAGAGGAAGAAGATTAACTCCAACAATTACTCTAGATGAAGATATTTTATAGTAGAACTTATGAAACTTTAAGCCTTTCTTTGGGAAGCTTAAATCAGGATTTTTCACCTGTAACAAAAATGTCAACTTTGAATCTCGGTAAGGAACATGGAGTGTCTTCCCATTGGACATGCTAACAAGGTTCATAATCACAAGCCTACATTTTGAAAAACCAGTTTAGATTTAAAAAAAAGCAGACGCACTTATAAGTCTGACAAAATATCAATACAGGAATTACAAACCCCAATGTTGAGAGAGATTTGTTGATGTTAGTAGCTTCCTTTAGTCGTTCACCTTCAGCACCTGAACTTTTTTGCCTGATAAATAAGCAGAGCACAGTACATAAGTTTTGCAGGTGACTCTCATTTAAAACTCCTTTTTCAGTGTTTCATTGTAATTATTCTGTTTACCTTTCAGAACCTGCCAAATCAACAAGGTTAAGGCGTGCAAACCGATGATGAGTTACACCTTGGGACTCCCACTGCATATGAGATTGACATTGCAAATTAAATCTTACTATCATGGTCAAAAGCACAAAAATCAAGAAAGAAAACAAGGAAGATAAGATACAAAATCTTACCTTACTTTCAATGACACAAGTAAAAACACTGTGAGAACGACTGCTAGCACGATTCATATTTGTTGCAGCTACCTTCCTGTTGGCAGCACCCTGTTGGGGATAAGTTACAAAAACCATAACAAAAATAAGTTTGACCTGTTCAAAAAAATAAGTGTGATCTTGCTCTAGAACAAAATATAGAGAAAGTATGTCTAAAAGCCATCATCACTATTCAGTATTATACCATTGCAATAAGCCTTAAACAGTAAAACATTAAAGACATACTCTTTTTGCTACCCTCCAGTCATTTAATGCAGTTGCAAGGATACTCTCAAGTTTAACCAGTAACACACCCTCAGGTTTCAAAAATTAAGGCAACACTTTCTTCTTGTAAAAGAGGATTGTGTAAACAGCTGATTTGTTCTTTAAGTCCAAACCGAACCTACAACATTAATCATGCAATTGACATAGAGCGAGACAGCCAGTGATAGATAGGAACGGTGTGTTCAAAATCACTAAAATTGTAAACCCTGGTAGAACTGAAGAACTAGTTGGACAAGATCTTTGCTTTAATGTCTTCAGTATGTATAACTTTTTTTCTACTAAGATATAATGATGGTAAGTTTTGTACTCCCCAAGGAACTAGCATAGTTCTATCTCAGCTCGAAGATAATATAACTTCAGCTTAGAAAGATATTCAATTACATAAACAGTTTTAATTAATATATACAAAAAAATAGGTCACGGCATACCTGAACAAGTTGCTGTATCACATCTCGAGCACTTGTAACTTCAACCTCAGTGAGATTCTCCACATGAATCCCTTTCTTAGTATCTTCCCTTATCTGCAGAATACCAGATGAAACTTGTTGGTCTTCTCCTAGGGGTAGAAATAATGTTTTCCAACTAGTATTCACTTTAGCTCAAGCAACACTTAAGAAATGAAGGAATAGTGGGAGGAAAAAAAAAAAAAAAAACTGGACTTCTTATTAAAGTGCACATATACCTTTTGTATCAATTACCATATTTTATGTATTCATATAGTATATAAAATTAAATTTATCTATTGTATGTGGCAGAACTAGGAGTTCAGAAAGATATTAAGTGTTAAAGAAACACAAGTATATGCCACATTCAAATTATAGGAATTAATATAATTCAGTGGATAATATTCATGTGAACTGGGAAGTAAGGAAGGAAGGAAGTTCTTTAGTGTAATAATAATAAATAAATAAAAACTAAACTAAACAGTTGTTCATATATATATATATATATATATATATATATATATATATATATATATATATATATATATATATATTACTCATAGCATTTATAGATAGAGCACACATAGAATTTCCTTATTCATAGACGTGTGCGCACCCCATCCCCCTCCCCATCCCCATTTATCCATCTTCCATGCCAGACTTTGAACTATCTTATATGCTTAACGAGAGAAAAATATTTTTAAAAAAATCACCATTGTATAAAAAGGAATATGATCTAGCGAGAAAACGACCTTCAAAATCTGATAAAAGATAGGAAACTGGAGGAACCAAAATATGCATGTCTTTTACCTGTAAATTAACAGAGGAAGGATCCAAGAGATCAAGAATTTGCTCATTGTATATTTCAAGAAAAGAACACCTGCAAGTAAATCGTATCTTCTCCTCCCTGCGTGCCTCCCTTTCCTGTGTCAGTTTGAAAGCACCCAACTAAATACTAGATTTCTCTCAATATCTAAACTTAGGATAATACATAAACTAAACTGTATGAGAATCTGCATGCAAAAATCTTTAAGTTGAAATTTAACTCCCAAACGTATATGGAACTTAAACAGCTGAAGACCAATTGTCTAGTTCATGCTTATAAATCTAAGAACTATGGTCCAAGTCTAAAAAAACTATATTTCTTACATTAATAAGCTCCCACTCAGATAAAAAGAGCATATATCTCATATCTCCCCTTCCCTTCTTTTATAAATATGCATTCGTAGCACTAATACCTTTTGAATTCTTGAAAACAGGTACTCGAAGACTCGAGGTGTCATCCCACAATTTACACTATGTCTTCGAGTGCCTCCTTCAATGTCTCCAAGCATTGTATGTGTTTTGCCACTTCCAGTCTGTGCATAACAAATAACCCATTAAATATGAAAACATCATCAACAGATTTGCAATTAGAACATTTTAACTTAAACTTTGAGAGGAAAAATGCAGGAACTTTAATATCTGAATAGTTTTTTTTAAAGGTAACATACCTGGCCATAAGCAAACATGCAACTATTGTAACCTTCTACACAATTTTCAACCATAGGCACTCCAGAAACTTTAAACATCATCTCCTGATCAGTTTAAAACATGAAACCTTTAGCATACGATAAGTAAAGTAATGCGAATAGAAGAAACAAAGGTAAAGACAAACACACCTGGGTAACATTTTCATCTGCAATGAGGTCAAATGTAAAGCGTGACTCTGGATGCCCAATCCAAGTTATTGTCTGTGAACTGTCTTGCCTGAGACATCGACTATTTCCATACAAAGATATCTCTGAACTATTCAAAGGACGTACTCTAATAATAACCTGATTAAACCAGTTAAACAAAATAAAAATTGGGTAAAAATGAAAGCCAAAATGCCATGCTTATCATTTATAAGATGTCTCATAAAATTTTCATATGTAAAAACTTAATTATTTTTCATGAATTGAAGTTGGATTAACAAAGAACACTACATTTATAGAGGGTAGCCCAATTAAATGAAATTCCTGGCAATAAAATAAATATAAATATTGTTTCCTAAATTGTGTTATCTCTCTCATGACAGTTTTTCTTGTAGAAGGGAGTATGAATTAAGAACTTCCCTACATATTTGGTGTTTGCATCTCTCTATAAGACTACAATCAGCTCAAATCCCCTCATTTCTATTATACCCCTAAAGTTATCAGCAAATGCTAGCAGATTTTCTAGGAAAAGGAAAAATACCACCAACATTTCTTCAAACCCAAATTCTTCAGAATACAAACAAAAACGAGTGGAAATATATATATATATATATATATATATATATCAAAAATAAAAGCGAAAATTAATCGGATAAAAAAGCATAGAGAGTGCTCGCAAATACAATTCGGAAGCAGGAATACAGCACCTGAACATTGTGGTCTTTCCAGAAAGCAGGGTCTTCACGGAACTCGAAAGTCCGCAGTTGGTTAGACGCCGCCGTTTGCGCACTGTCACCGTCGGAATTCTCACTCCGATCTTTGCAAGTTGATTTCAGTATCCGTAGATCCGGCGAGCTCTTGACAGCCGGCATCGCCTGCGGCGGCGGCGGCTGCTCCGACGAACTATGGTGGTGATGGGGGTCATGGAATCCGAATCTGGACTTCACTGCGCTCGACGCCTCCGATATCAACGGCATCGTTGACGGAGTTGGTTGGAATTAAGCTGTAGGGTTGGGGGGAAAAATGGGGAGAGACTGAGAGAGAGGGTCTCGGTGGGTGTCTTCTTTGCTGGTTTTCGAAATGAGAAATGGGGCGGGGTGTTGAAATTCAAAATGGGAAGAGCTGACGAGGTGACCGTTTGATAGATTTGAAATTTTGAATAGAACCCTACTAGCTCCCTTCTCCCGTCTTAAAATAATGATAAAGAATCTACATCTATCTACCAATACTTTTTTTTTTTTTTGAAAAACATCTATCTACCAATACAAATCTAATAAAAACCCAATAATATTATGCCCTTAACTAGAACAAAAAAATATAACTTTATGTGTTATGGCATTCAAAAAAAAAAAAAAACAAAACAAAAAATATAGGTGTAATTATTTCATAAAATGAATAGTTCATATTATTTTGATTTTAGTATTATTTAATGATTTTTTTTATTTACTCTCAATTATATTATATTTTTTCCTTAAATAACCCTAAATTTCGTTAGTATAAACTTTAGTAACAAAATATTCCGTTAACTATTTATTATTCTTAACTTAATCATTAATTTCTATAAAAAAAACTTAAGTTCAAATCCTGTCCCAATTAGAGTTGGCATAATTATTAAACAAATATGTTTATATATATATATATATACACACACACATAAATTTTGGTCAAATAATTAGCCCGATCAAATACAATACATAGCATTCAAAGTGGAGCATCAAAGATTATATATCAAAAATTTTAAAATTCATTTGATTTTCTTTCATTTAAAAAAAATTAGGTTAATTTTTTTTGCCGTTTAATTCATCTTCTTTTGATTATTTAGAACAAAATTTAATATTTCAATTATGCTTTTGCATTATTGAAATGATTTAGATCATTATGGTATTAATTTTTTTTGTATGTATTTTTATAATGCACCAATAACGAACATAAAATACACAACACTATGATCGGACAAAATTGCCCATAAATGTCGCGGAATTGGAGCTCATAGGCGCGAATTGGAAAGAATCTAGTGCGTTGATCTGCTGCAATCCAATGGATGAAAGTTGACCGCACTGCCGCACCTAACAGCCCTGCCACACTTGAACTTTACTCTATATATTTCTTGCAGGTGCGCGTTGGGCTCACCTGTTACGCCCAATAAGCGTGTAAAACGCTTTTTTTTTTTTACTTTTCATATTCTCTTTTGTCTTTTTAAGGTTTCTACCCAGACCTCTGGTTTCCGCCGAAAATCGATGATGTTGTTTTTTTTAAAATATAATTTTAATAAATAATATTATATTTAATATTATTATACATATTTCTATATTCTAAATAAAATAATTAAAATATTTAATTATACAATTGTACTCATTTTCTAAAAAATGAACTAAATATGTTAAGACAATTTTTCAAAATGCAACTAAACACGGGAAAAGGAAAAATTTTCTGAAATAAATCGTAAATGTTTGTACACTAGATCCTTATAAATACTATGGCGGAGTGGATATGTGCAGTCATTTATAGAGTTGGGAATTGCAATGAACCTTCTTGAGTGGAGTTAATGGTAGTATATCATGGGCTTTAATTTGTTGGAACAAGGGTACGATATTATATATAGTTAGAGAACTGATGGATTTAGTTCATCCGGGGTGGTCCGAATTATTAAATCCGGATAAGAATATATATGAAATAAATAATGTAACGCAAGGATATCGTAAGGTCGCAGGGACCGTAGATTGTATTGAATATCGCTAATAAGCTATTACAAGACTTGATTAGGACAATAATGCTATAAAATAATAGTTTAGGAATATGTTGTGTAAGATAATGATGAGGTCCCTCTTTAGGACAAGGAGGGGGGCTAAACCCCCCAACCGCCTCCCCCTAAATCGGGGGGTAGTTGGATCTCCGAGTTGACCGCGCCCGGGTGTAGACCGGGTCCGCGGGTGTGCTGAGCTCGACATGACCGAGCACACCATGGCCGAGCTCACCGTGGCCGACCTCACCGTGGGCGAGCTCACCATGGCCAAGCTCACCGTGGCCGAGCTCACCATGGCCGAGCTCATAGGGCCGAGCTCGACATGGCCGAGCTCACCATGGCCGAGCTCATATGGCCGAGCTCATAGGGCCGAGCTCATGTGACCGAGCTCACCATGACCGAGGCACCTTGGGCCGAGCACGGGGCCCAACCACTAGGCCCCGGGTCTATTCCATACTTTCTTGCTCCGCTTTCCCGGGTCGGTTTGCTCTAATCATAATATATCCATCATGAGTCCCCCACTCTCTTCGTTGGAGAAGTCGACAACGAAAGAGAGTAAATGTCCCGACCCGACCTCTATGCGCGACATGGGCTCACCACGACCGAGCCCATTGTAGCCGAGGCGTCCTAGGCTGAGGTGCCTTGTGCCGAGGCGTCCTAGGCCGAGCTCGCTATGGACCTGGGCGCCTTGGACCGATGTGAGACGTCTTGGGCCGAAGTGAGACGTCTTAGGCTGAGGTGAGACGTCTTAGGGCGAGGTGAGACGTCTGAGACCGAGGTGAGACGCCTTAGGCTGAGGTGAGACGTCTAAGGCCGAGGTGAGACGTCTTGGGCTGCTCCAACTTCTTGCTCTGGTCCCCTGAGTCGGTATGCTTCGCTCGTAATATATCCATCATGAGTCCCCCACTCTCTTCGTTGGAGAAGTCGACAACGAAAGAGAGTAAATGTCCTGACCCGAACTCCATGCGCAACATGACCGAGCTCACCATAGCTGAGCCCATTGTGGCCGAGGCGTCTTGGGTCGAGGTTCGTTGTGCCGAGGCGAATTGAGCCGAATATTTGTTAATGAAGGAGAGTAAACACGAGTCGCACTCCATGGGTCCGAGCCCCACACGGCCGACCCCAACGTGGCCGACCCCAACCTCAAGGATTAGACTTGATTAGCAGCTTGATTGGCGTCCTCCTTTCTTTATCATACGGGTTTCATCTTCCGCTCCACCCCTTTGTACTTTTCTTAACATGCCTCTCTCCCCGGAGGTGGGCACATTTTGTGTCTCCCCTCTAGAGGTGCGCACATTTCATGTCTCCCCTCCAGGAGGAGGGCACATTTTATGTCTCCCCTCCGGGAGGTGTGTCATTTTGTACCTTGCTTCGATAAACATGCTTCCCCTCCCGGAGGTGGGCACATTTCATGTCTCCCCTCCGGGAGGTGCTTCCTTTTGCCTTCGATGAACATGCTCCCCCTCCCGGAGGTGGGCACATTTTATGTCTCTCCTCTGGGAGGTGGGCACATTGTATTGACTTGGTGTTTTGAATGGACAATCAACTCTCCCTTATTGATTCATTGTTTCACAACACTTTTAGCACAATGCCTTATGTTAGTCACTTGAGCCTAGTCCTACTGGATTAAGCCACGGGGCTCCTCCGTCGGGGTTGGTACGCGAGGTCGGACCTCGTGCCCCCTTAGGATACGTTAGCCGCTTGAGCCTAGTCTTGCCGGACTAAGCCACCGGGCTCTTCTGTCGGGGTTGGTACGTGAGGTCGGACCTCATGCCCCCTTAGGGTGCGCTACCCGCTTGAGCCAAGTCCTGCCGGACTAAGCCATCGGACTCTCCCGTCGGGGTTGGTACGCGAGGTCGGACCTCGTGCCCCCTTAGGGTGCGCAAGCCGCTTGGGCCGAGTCCTGCTGGACTAAGCCACCGAGCTCTTCCATCGGGGTTGGTACACGAGGTCAGACCTCGTGCCCCCTTAGGGTACATTAGCCGCTTGAGCCTAGTCCTGCCGGACTAAGCCACCAGGCTCTTCCGTCGGAGTTGGTACGCGAGGTCGGACCTCGTGCCCCCTTAGGGTGCGCTACTCGCATGAGCCAAGTCCTGCAGGACTAAGCCACCTCTTGAAACATCATTGGAGGGGAGGGACCCACCAGTGGATCGAGCAGGTCCCTTTGTGGATCTCTTCTATGACTGACCTCGCCTCATTGGGGTACAAGCAATGTAGCAAGGTGTCATTGGAAGACTTCTTGTAGAGTATGTCACGGGAGACCATGTAGGTTCTCCCTACCGGCTTGGCTTCGACCTTGTCAAGGGGCAAGTAACCCATAACATGTTCTTCCGTTAGGTAAATGCCAAGGTCGGGGACGGCACGCACGACCGCAACCATGGGTTAATAAGAACATATGTCAATATTTGAGCTCTTGGGGTTCGGGGGAGTCGGGTAAATGTAGGCACCCCTCGAGAGACGTCGGGGCCAAGCAGGAGGGCTCGGACACCTCCTTGGAGCCCCTCAACGGGGCGGGTCAACAAGGTGGTAGCTTGTTGGAGCGTGACCATCCCCTCCGGGAGCTCATTCATTCGCTTACGGAGCTGCTCAACCTCGTCACGATGGGTGCTTGGAGCTCGACCATTCGTTTTCCCGACCTCTCATCTCGGGAGGCCTACTCGCGTCACGGCGGAGCTCGGGGCCCGCGACTCGGCGACCTACGTGAAAAAAATTCTTGTCGTGGCGGCGCTTGAAAGTCACGGCTCGGCGACTTTCGGGGACATGATTCATCCTCTTGTAGTGCGTTGGAGGTTGGCCTTGGGCCCAACCTTTCTCGGGCCGACACGCGCTTGCCCAGCCTCTCAAAGGCGGGCCTAACATGGGTCGACCTCCCTCTATCACCCTCTCAATGGTGATCTTGGCGGATTTCACCCCTTCCCCGCGTGTCCGATGGCCGGGGTGAGTTGACCTCCTCTTCGATTTGAGTGTTAAGTGCCAGGGGTAGCCGGGTGCTTGGACCGGTGCGCCCCCTTGAGGGAGGTGGAGGCGGGGTCATCGTCCTTTGTGTGGCCTCCTGTAACACCCCGTGTTACGACCCCTAAAACCAATTAATCATTTACCTAAAAGAAAGAATTAAATTCCAGTAATTAATTAGGAAAAGGCCCACCATAGTCCATGGGCCCTTATCCCTAAAACCAATCCCCTAGTCCTATAAGGAATAGAATTAGCAAGCCCATAGTATTTGGACCCTAATTGGGACTCTTAGGTATATAAATAGGGGGCATAGGGGGGCACCTAGAACCCACACCACAATAATCTCTCACCACACAAGAAGTTCCAAGAATTCCCCTAGGAGAAATCAAGAAAGGAGGAATCTTAAAGAAAGACCCTTCATAGCCAAGGAAATTAATTAAGGCTAAGAGGTAACCCATGTC